TGGATCTAGGAATTTCGCTCAGGGGAGCCCGATTTTAAATGTTACTAACGGTGTGTAAATTACGTCGAAACGCTCATTTCATAAAAAATTGCATTTACTTGTAAATATAGATATCGATATACGTACCCTCAAGTCTTTTAAAAATTTGGAATCCGTACCACCCTCGAACTTTTAAAAAAATAAACAAAAAAAGATTTTCATGTATTTATAATTTAAGTTTAAGATTTATAATTTATGATTTTCTTTGTTAAAAGTATGATTTAAATTGAACTTTTTTGACATTTTTTTTTTTGTCGGAACGATAGAGGTTATATAGAAAGCACAAAAGTGCAAAGGTACAAATTACAAGACCCCAACAGGGTATTATTTAAGACCCCAACAGGGTAATGAGACAGGGGCCAACGGCCCAAACCAAAAACACGCATACTAAAGGAATAGAAAACTGAGAGGACACGCACATGGCGGCTTAGAGAACTCCACAAACGAAAATAAGGGAAATTGAAAAACATAGTCACTGCACAATGCCTAGCCTGTATTCATCTCCAACACAAGACGAACAAAAAAAAACACTGATCAAAATAAAAAGACAACCTACAAGAAAAACCAGAAAGCAAAAATAAAACGACCCTCCCCCGGAGAACCGACTAAACCGAAGAAGCAGCTACAACCGCCTTTAGGGAAGGTCCCTAGCCAAGTATTTTTGTTGATGATAGCTTATCAAATTATCTATTTTGTAAGAAATAATAAATAAAGTTAAAAATATAAGATTAAACAAAAAAATAAAGTAGGAAACCAACATTCAAAAATGTAACATTCCAACTAAATCATTAAATTGATTTACATTTTAGAGTATCAAAGAGTAAATAATTATACATATTTTTAAAATTTTATCTTGAAATGTAAAATATAAGGATTATTATATATTTTACAACAAATGAATAATATTATTAGTTTAAAATAAAATAGCATTGAAAATAAGTTTAAATTATTTACATTTTTTTTAAATACTTTTTGCATATTATCCCTTATATATATATATTTTATATATTTATACATATATACAAATATAATGAATTTAAAAAAAAAAAAAAAATTGAGGGGGGCCCATGGGCCCCCCTGGACCTCATCTAGGTCCGTCGTTGTTTGAACCTTTGAAATCGATTATGGTTACGATAAGATGGGAAGCAAAAGCATAATCCTGAAGGCCAGTGTTCTAGCACAGTTCAATGGTGAAGAAGGTGAGAGAGAACAATTTAAAGATTTTGAATTTGATGATGCGTTGACGGTTCTTCCAAGAAATTTGATGAGTTGCTGAAGAAAATTAAAAAAACTCAAGAATGGCGTAATGGCATGTTCCAACTAATCAGTGTTCCAACTTCCAATACACCTTCTCAAAAGACTTAAAATCACGATATATAGAAGAATCAATGCTGTGAATGCAAGATATTTGAAAACCTTTAGAAAGAATGTTTGAATTTTAAGAGGAAGAAAAAAACCTATAAGACCATGTGGGATGATGATGAAGATGACGACGACTAGCAACACACCATCAATTTTAGCGTTTGTCCTCTCAACGCGACTGTCCGAATTGGTTACGTGGCCTTGAAGTCAGCAACGTCTTCTTATTACGTGACCTTATAGGTTTTGCTGAAATCATTGGGCTCAAACTGAGCCCAAAACTATTTTATTCTAGACGAAATTTTAAGATAACCACAAGATATTAAAATTATTTTATTTCTACAATGTGGGTGTTTTTATTTGCATCTATACCTAAAAAAATGGATTTATTTGGGTTGAGTAAATAAAGATCAGTTACCAAACTAAAATGTTCCCTACAATCACGCCAATTACAAAAATATTTTCTCATAATTGCCAAAGATATGATATACATAATATACACGATTAAAAATATATCCGAAAAAAATCAGGCGTTATCTTCGTTTGAAACTGATTTATGTATATATGTAGTATATTTTCTAGTTTTTTTTTCAGATCTGATGTATATATATATATAAATATAGTTTATATAAGTATACCGAACATATACAGAACATATACCGAACATATATATACCAAACATATATCATTTTCTGGGATTATATATGTATACCGAACACATACTAATAATTACTCCAGATCCAGGTGTCGAGTTTTTTTTTTTATCAAAACGATCGAAACGCGATTGGGTCGAAAAGCTTTGTCAAACTCCAGCTCAATTTTTTTCATATTCATGCGAAAAAAAAACTTCTTTTTTT